TTCTCTCCTTGATTAGCTTCCACCCATTGCTTTTTTGTCCTGCTCTCAGGTGCTTTGAAGAATTACTTGACCCCCTCTTCTTTGGGCCAGCCCCTCAAATATTGGAACACTGCTATCATGTCACTCCCTAGTCCTTCTTTTCACTAGACAAACCCAATTCCTGCAACTGTTCTTCAGATGTTTTAGCTCCCAGTTCCCTAATCATCTTTGTTGCTTTTTTGACACTCTTTCAAGAGTCAAACTATCTGGACCATCTTCCTTAACATGAGCAGAGTCCCCATGGTGCTGGTTTTCCATGTTGCGTGCATCAGTGATGGGATTCATTTTTTTTTTACTACCAGTCAGTGGTGAAATCTAATTCCCTCTGCCCACTGGTTTTGTGGGTGTGGCTTGGTGTGTAGGGTCATGTGACTGGGCGGGCATGGCCAACTTTTTTTTCACTTTCAGCTTTATTAAAAGCTTTTTAAAGGATTCTTTCCCTGCCGGTTCGGGCACACCAGCAGGGAAAAATGCTTTAAAAAGCGGGGGGGGGGACGACTTTCATTGGAAGCTCTTTTTTTTACTACCGGTTCGCAGAACCAAGGACAGTCATCCCTACCAGTTTGGCTGAATCAGGCTGAACTAGGAGGCTTTCACCCCTGCTATTGGTTCTGTGGAGGTGGCTTGGTAGGCATGGCATGGCTTGGTGGGCGTGGCAGGGAAAGGATACTGCAAAATCTCCATTCCCTTCCAATCAGCTGGGACTCAAGAGGCAGAGAATAGATGGGGGGCGAGGCCAGCCAGAGGTGATATTTGCCGGTTCACTGAACTACTCAAAATTTCTGCTACTGGTTCTCTGGAACTGGTCAGAACCTGCTGAATTCCACCTCTAGCATGCATCCAGGTTATGTCATGTTTGTCTTCCATGGCCGTTAGGTCAAGGGAGAAAAATGGGAAAGAGAAAAGTGAAAGTACATTCAAATGCACAGCAACATCTCTGACAAAGGTCAGGCCTTGAAGAGATGCTCAACCAAAAGAGGCTGGAGGGGTGCCTCCCTTAGGGAAGGGAAGAGGTAGGGGGGAAGAGAGTTGGCACTCAGCCCAGAAATTGGGAAGCTTTCCAAAGGCACTGTGGGAGAGAAAGGGGTTACTTTCTTCCCCCACCTCCCCCCAAAGAGAATGGGAGGGGGGGAGTCTCTTCTTAACTGGGCTGGTAATGAGGAGGATTGTTCAAAAGACTGCAAAATTGGACATGGCTACATTAGAAGATCCGGCAATTGAGAGGGGAGCCTGTGCTTCATTTCAAAGCCGAAAACATTTTAAACCAATGATGTTTGACAGATCTCTTTGCTGTTCTTTCTTTTCTTTTTTTCAAATTCCCAGTCTAAAGAGAAGGTCATGCATTTTTCTGGGTGGTCTCCCATTCCCAATATTAACCAGATCTGGTCTTCTTAGTGCAGGCTGGCTAGATGCTACTCCAAATACCAACTCACAGGCGAGGCGAGGAGTTAGATATGATGGCCTTGACTTGTGGTACCTCCAAGAGTGAAATCCAACAGGTTCTGACAGGATCTGGAGAACCGGTAGCGGAAATTTTGAGTAGTTCGGAGAAATGGTAGCAGAAATTTTGAGTAATTTGGAGAACCGGTAGCAGGAATTTTGAGCAGTTTGGAGAACAGGTAATGGAAATTTTGAGTAGTTCGGAGAATAGTAGCGGAAATTTTGAGCAGTTTGGAGAACAGGCAACGGAAATTTTGAGTAGTTTGGAGAACTGGCAAATGCCACCTCTGGCTGGCCCCAGAGTGGGGTGGGAACGGAGATTTTGCAGTATCCTCCCCCTGCCGTGCCCACCAAGCCACACCCACCAATCTACACCATGCCCACCAAGCCAC